TGATAAAAGACTGATAAAAGATTGATAAAAGACTGATATAAGATTGATGAAAGACTGATAAAAGACTGATAAAAGATTGATAAAAGACTGATAAAAGATTGATAAAAGACTGATAAAAGATTGATAAAAGACTGATAAAAGATTGATAAAAGACTGATAAAAGATTGATAAAAGACTGATAAAAGATTGATAAAAGACTGATAAAAGATTGATAAAGGACTGATAAAAGATTGATAAAACATTGATCAGAGACTGATCAGAGACTTATAAAAGATTGATGAAAGACTGATCAAAGACTGATAAAAGACTGGTAAAAGACTGATAAAAGACTGGTAAAAGATTGATAAAAGATTGATAAAAGACTGATAAAAGACTGATCAAATACTGATAAAAGATTGATAAGAGACTGACAAGAGACTGATCAAAGACTGATAAAAGATTGATAAAAGACTAATAAAAGATTGATAAAAGACTGATAAAAGATTGATCAGAGACTGATCAGAGACTGATAAAAGATTGATGAAAGAGTGATAGAAGACTGATAAAACATTGATAAAAGACTGATAAAGGATTGATAAAAGTTTGATAAAAGACTGATAAAAGATTGATAAGAGACTGATCAGAGACTGAGCGAGCCAAGCTACAGCCCACGGAGGAACTTTCTGAGTTTGTCCTCTCTTTTGGAGCAGCAAGAGGTTTTATTGTTTGATATTTTTCATTTTTTTGTGCTGGCCAGTGCTTTGCCTGTTAAACAAACAGATTTTTTCCGTTTTCCTCCAAAGAAATATTTTCCTGAAGCAGGTAGGTGAAAGGTCTCTTAAATCTACTTTCTAAAAGAGCCCCTTCAGCAGTTTTCTCCCTAATTTACCCCAAACCAAACGCTGTGCAGCGCATGCCTAAAATGACAGATTTTATTGCACCAGCGAGCACACGGAAGGAATCATCAATAACCAATATCAGCATCAAACACCGTATCAGAATGCCGGTGATCAATAAAAATGTGCAAAAGCCGATACGGAAGTGCAAGAGCCAGCTATTAAATTGTCATTTACAGCGTGGCTCCGCTGCAGGCACGGCGGAAAGCTGAAAGCCGCGAGGCACCGAGGGGGCTCATTCACCCCCCGAGCCACCCCCAGCTCCGGCAGCGTCCCCAAGTGTCCCCAGTGACGTCACCCCAGCAATTCCCATCAGGATTTGGGACAGTTTCAATGAAAATTCCCCACGTTTGTCCCCGGTCCCAAGCAGGGAGGGGACAGGTGACAGCGGCGATGTCCCCGATGACGTCACGGCGGTGACGTCACCGTCCTGAAGCAGCCTCGGGATGTCCTCGATGGCTTTTCGGCACCGCTCGGCCACCCCGCTGCCACCGCGGCCACCACGGAGACAGCAGAGGCGCTCCCGGATGTCCCCAAGTGCCCCCAGCAGGTGACACCTGAACAGGCGCTCGCTGGCATCCCACACCCGCTCGGCCTCGGCCACCGTGGCCACCGAGGCCTCGGGGACATCGGGGGACGCCTCCCCCTCCTCTGTCCCCTCCAGGGCGGCCTCGACCACCCGCAGCCGGCGGTGCAGCCCCTCGGGGATGGCGGTGGCTTTGTCACACGCTGTCACCAAGTGCTTCATCAGCTCTCTGGCGGCCTGCCGTCACCTCGCCGGCCGCCCGGTGCAGATCCCGCACCAAAGCGGCCTCCTCGCCGCTCGGGGTCACCGGCAGCCGCCACGCCGCGGCCGCCAGCTTGTCCCCAGAGTCCAAGCAGCGGATCAACCTGTCCCCGAGTCCCCACCAGGTGACACCAGCCGCCTCCCCGCAGGTGTTGTGGAGCTCAGAGGCCTCCTCCACCAGCCGCGGCCACCGAGTCGCGCCGGGCGCTGGCCGCGGCCCTCACGTCGGCCCCGGTGGCCTCAGGGCCGGCCTTGCAGGCGGCCAGGGCCCGGCCCGGGGAGGGGACACCGCGGTGGCCCAGGGTGTCGCTGAGCAGCCAGGTGAAGCTCCTCAAGGGCCGGGGGTACGCGCCCCGGTGCCGCCCGCTCACGATGGCCACCGCCATGCCCAGGGTGGCCACCGCGAACACCAGAGACGCCAGCTCCTGCTGAGGGGGGGACAGCTGCCGAGGGGACAGGGGAGGTGTCAGGGACCTGGTGGCGTTTGTGGCCTCCCGCGGTGGCGCCGCGCCCTCCCTGGGTCCCCTCTGTCCCTCCCTTGTTCCCCCTCCCATCCCCCACTGTCCCCTCCCCCTCCCCGTTGGCTCGGGAGGAGACGGAAAGGGGCGGGGCCAGCCTCGGTGACGTCACCGCCTCTTCCGGTACCGTCCCAATCCACGGGAAGCTCCAGGATTTGGGCACTTTGAATCCCAGGGGATTTAGGCTCAGCCCCAGGGGGTTTAGGCTCAGCCCCAGGGGGTTTAGGCTCCACCCCAGGGGGTTTAGGCTCCATCCCACCATTTCCAACCGGATTAACTCCGCCGTTCCCGGCTTGGATTTAGGAGGGAACGCGAAGAGCTTGGAGGAGCCCACAAAATTGCCCTCAACAAAGATGGCGGCGCCGCTTCTCCCACGAGACCTCTGGCGGCCAAACGCTGTGAGAACCAATCAGAAGCCGGAGCTGGCAGAAGTCCTGGCGGAAACGCGGTGCATTGTGGGTATTGCGGTCCCGGTGCAAAAAGAAAACAAGATTAAAAAAGTAGAACAAAGTAATATACAATACAAATAAAAATAAAAATTAGATACAAATAAAAATAAAAATTAGAGACAAATAAAATTAAACAATAAAAAATTA